ATTCCACTAATTATCGTTGTTCCTTGATAAAGAATAACTCTCTATGATTTGGCCAAAAAGTACCAAAGTAAGTTAAACGACAGAGATAAGTTTCCCTGTAATAAAATTGTGAAATTGGCTGTCGCTGTTACTCAAGATGCATCTTTTTAGATGATAAAATGCAATCTCGTGGAATAAACATTTGTGTGTGTATGTGTGAGTGTGTCTCAGTGAGTGTAAATCAATGTGTGTGTGTTTGTGTGTGTGTGTGTGTGTGTGTGTGCGCGCGCGCGCGCGTGCTGCGTGCGTGCGTGCGTGTGTGCGTGTGTGTATGTGTGTGCGTGTGTGCGTGCGTGTGTATGTGTGTGCACTTGAGAGGAAAAGAGAGAGAGACAGAGAGAGAGAGAGAGAAAGAGAGAGAGAGAGAGAGAGAGAGAGAGAGAGAGAGAGAGAGAGAGAGAGAGAGAGAACGTGCACACTGTGAATGTTTGTCTGTTTGTTTTTATTTGTTTGTTTGTTTGTTTATGTGTATGTTTGTGATAGAAATGTCGAAGGTGAATATCAGAAGGTCTTTGCAGTTTCGTATACCATAAGTATATGATACGATTTCCCCCATGTGGTTTGTTTTAGTTGTTTTTTAATGTTTTGTCTCATTTATGTTCTCGTACATTTTTGTACGGAAACAGTGATCATTCTAATCTATTGTACATATTATGATAATACTATTACCGATGTTTGAACCTTTATCTTTCTGCCCCCTCCCCCCATTTCTTCCCCTGGCCCCCAGCCAAAGAAAACACCCAGGTAGACGCATACTAATAATATTTCTTACACACCCTCCCCCTTTCTCTCCTAGTCACTTCCCAGGTTCACTTTACAACTATTGGAAGAGAAGCGAAGGTGCAATGGACTTTTTAAAGAAGTGTTATGTAATATGCACACCAACCCCCCCCCCCCCCCAACCAACAAAACAAAAACAACAAAAACCGTGAAAGTGTTCTCAACTGACTGTGGAAAGAATGTTCAAATCTTGACGATAACAGGAATTACCTCTGTGCTACAAACTTTTCATTTTCATGAACTCAGTAACAGTTCTAGTGACTAAAACATTTAGAGTCGTATAAGGGGAAAAGCGGGCTTTTTTATTTTAGTCATTTCCCAAGGATGATAGTTGTCATAATTGCACGGTATGGATTAAAAAACATTTTTTTTCAATACCGTCAAGTATTTAAAAGGCGAGTCCTTTGGATCCCGCATCCACATAACCGAACGAAATGGGCGAATTGTCATGAAAACTCCTCCACCAAATGAAATATTAGAACACCCAATTGGGGATTTTAACCTGAGTCATTGGCAGAGTAGCTAAGTACATTATATCAATCAACAGAACAAACTATGTCCCATACTGTGCTTATCGCCGCTACGTATACGGAAATCTGTTTCCCCGTTTGGTCAGTTGGTATCATGTTACATTTTAGATACAATGTGGATGGCCCTGGTTCGAATTCCAAAAGGGTATTGTTGATCTTCGAGGTTATGAAACATTTTCAAGCCTCTTTTCTGTTGTTTCGATCGTATATGATACGGGCCTTCAGATTTGAGGTCCCGCCTGCTAATAAGCTGTATATGTTTTTAAAACGATCTTAAATAAATCCACAGCATACTTTGCATGATTGCTAAGGGCATTTTCTATAAAGGCTCTTTCGTCCCTTTAAATTGGGGCATTGCTTTCCTTGACTTCAGAAAGCTGAATTTGGCTGTTCAGTACAAACTGATAATAATGGCATGGGCGAAATTCGACACCCTTCTTCGTCCAAAGCTCCAAAAACATTTGACTTTCACGAAAGGACCATCTGGATAGGGGAACATGACAATATGGAGAAAAGGTATGGCATACAAATACCTTCTTTGCACGAGTGTCTGCAGTACATAGTCGATTAAAGAAATTGACAAGGCAGTTAGGGTTAGAAGTAACATTACTTTGCGGTAAGGTGAGAAAACGATGGTTTCGAATAATCTTCAGAAATGCACTTATCACTGTTGCATCTTCCGTCTTTTTCACAGATCCATGCGCCCAGCCTTTACTTACCCTTTTATCCCACAGCAAACCTTGAGTGTGGATTTGTTTGTTTGGTTGTTTTTTGTTGTTTGTTTGTATGTACGTTCTTCCATTCACTTTTGACATGGAATGTTGCTCTACTGATTAAATTATAATATTATTGAAAAGTTTTTGGCTCATTTATCTCATTTCAAAATATTTGTGTGTAGTTTATAACTGTTTGTTTTATAGGCCTTTTTCATCTTGTAAAGAAGTATGGCGAATTTGAGCATCTTGTAGAGTTGTCAAAAGCCAGAGTAACTACAGAAACAATCGACAAAATCAGAAATGAAGCAATAATAATGAAAAGAATATGGTTACAACAACAGAATAAAATTAAACAAAAAGACAACAGCAACAACAACAGCAACAGCAACAGCAACAGCAACAACAACAGCAACAACAACAGCAACAACAGCAGCAGCAGCAGCAGCTGCAACAACAACAACATCAACAATAACAACAACGACCGTATCAGCCACACCTTAAGTGCTTTAACTTAACAACTGAAACCATCTTAAAATTAGTCTGGTTAATCAGTCCAGTCTCTTTGAGTTTTCCAACCGTCTAGGCAAACTTAGTGAAAGGGATGTTTTACAGGAGGTTAAATCAGCAAGTGGATTTTTTAAAGTGATTATATGTTTGGGAGCTTGGATACATGGACATAATATTATAATGTTTTCATAACAATTATAAAAAATCAAGCTAAAAAACACGCCGGCCTTTGAGAGAATCGAACCTAATTCCAGGATGATAATTTTTTATTCGTTGAATTGACATTGCATCCATTACCCTTAGTGTTTATACTAAGGCGTAAGAATAATTGAATTTGGAAGTCCCAGAAGTTTACGCCACTTGGCTGCAATAATAATAAAGGTACAACAGTATATTTTTCTCACCTTTCATATCTTTAAAGACCTGAGTCGAAGGGAACTCTATTGCCTCCCCACCCCCTAATCTCTCTCTCTCTCTCTCTCTCTCTCTCTCTCTCTCTCTCTCTCTCTCTCTCTCTCTCTCTCTCTCTCTCTCTCTCTCTCTCTCTCTCTCTCTCTCTCTCTCTCTCTCTCTTCGCTTAAGTGTTGTATCTTTGTGCTTTTTATGTATTTCCTCATTGTTTGTGTTTGTGAGTGTGTGCGTGTATATAGGTGTGGGTGTGAGTTAGTGAGTGAGTGTGTGTGTATTTGTGTGTGTGTGTGTCTGTGTTTGTGTGTGTGTTTGTGTGTGTGTGTGTGTGTGTGTGTGTGTGTGTGTGTGTGTGTGTGTGTGTGTGTGTGTGTGTGAATTGTCCATCACATCAAAAGAGAAAGTTGTCTCTGATCCAAGGGGAACTATTAGGATGGGCAAGATAGTTTACCACAGTTCACGACGAGTTATGTCTCTTGGTTTTATAATAATATTATAAACCGGATTTCCCATCCTTTCTTAGGAAGATCTTTCGGCAGTTTAACAAAAAACTCAACAATTTTTTGCAATAAAACAAGACAACAAAACCATTCAATCATTAAACTCAAGTTTATTCCAGCTTATGACAATAATAAGGAAAAGCACTGCTGATGGGAACAGCGAAGTATTTTATACCTTAACAAAATTCACCAAGGCATCTGCAGAAGTAAGAAAGTTTAACATCATAAACATGTATGCGCTCATTATGACCTTATGCAGCTGCGAGCGCCGTAAAACCTAAGCAATTACCCAAAAAAATTAACATTTATTTTAGAAGTGAGTGCACAATAATTGTTTTCTTTCCAAAACAATACCATTCTAAAAATGCTAGGCAGCGTGGTGGAATCAGGCTCTCGTCAATTTTTTGGCATGTTGGGGTATTGGTATCATCTAACAGCTTGTTCGCTTGTCTTTATTTGAATGAAAAAGTGTCCATTTATCTTGAATAGAAGTCGAGATATTTACGAAAGACAGAGGTGGGGGTAACCTGTTTTCAGAGGTAAAATTAGTGACAAAAATGGCCGCCTAAAGTTAGTTATTTCCTTAGCTTAAGAGTCCGTGGTAACTGAAAATTTAAATTTTCTGTGCCTTTAATCGGCGTTTTTCAGAAAAATCCACACAGAAATGAGTTCTTTAATGGGCATTAAAGGTGTTGAGCCAAAAAACAAAAAATTCATAAAAATTCATAAACCTGCGGAAAAATGCAAGTTTCTTCATTTTGATTATTTTGACGAGAGCCTGATTCCACCACGTTGCCTCGCAAATAGTGTTTTCTTTCTGAATATTATGAACCTGTACTGTGTAGCTAAGTGGAGAAGTCCTTGTCTTTCCATTAAGAGAGAAAAGAAATAGCGACTCCACCCTACCCCCACCCCCCACCTCCCACACCCAATCCAAATCCTCTTTACCTAATCACACACACACACACACACACACACACACACACACACACACACACACACACATACACACACACACACACACACACACACACGCACACACACACACAAACACACCTGACTTCAAAATACCAATTACTGACCTCTCTTTATTTCGGTGAACATTTTGGCCTAGATTTGTTTAGCAATTTGAACTAATATTACTCTATGCAAATGTACTTTTTTATTTACAGTGTAACTCATCAAGGTTCCTTTGGAAATAAAATCGATCATACCAGGTTTTAAAAAATTGAGGGGGGGGGGGGGCGTATATCCTAACGATGGCACCTTCACATGTCTTTCATATTTAAGACTGACAGCTTCAATATTACTATTAGCCCCACAGACACCATTAACATTGTATTCATTCATATGATTATACTGAGGGTATAGAAAGTAGGAACAAGTGAAAACTGTTTGGAAAAGAAACAGAAAATGTATCAGTATGTTACACAGATTATAAATATCCACTTTATTCGTCCTCTACAAAATTTGTCTTACAGCAACATATAACTCAAAGCAAACAAATTCAACAAAAAGAATACAGTGTCGACAAACTCGTAGAGATAAACACATCACTGCTTTTCGACACAGTGCAGCAAACTTTTTACCCTATTCTGTATAATTTAAGTTGTCAGGACCAATAATAAATGCATTGTACATATTATGTGTTTATGGGCCATAAATAATTAGAGAGTGTTACGGTTTTATATAACCATTCGGTGTGTCATTCATAGTCTAGTGCCCACATACAAATCCTGAGAAATCTCTGTATTTCTTCAAAAAATAGCGTGCAGAAAACTGTTTTTAGCTGGAGTTAACTTGTATTGCCAAAGAGCAGACTGCAGTGAGGACCAATGTTTTAACAATTCTAATTCTTTATCGTTATGTGACACTCAACACCTGTACTTATATAGTATTTCATGTCATGTTAAAGTGTACTTTGAAGTGAAAAAGTCATTCAGCCTGTTTCTAAGGGAGTATCTTTTTTAAATTCAGTAAGTTCTGTCTAAAGTGGCTTACAGTTTCACAATAAAGTCTTTTTTTTTATACAGGCCAGCACAAAACATACTACTTTAAAAAACACCATTAAACAGGATATGAATTGTATAAAACGCGTTCGCATATTAAACGTGGTTCTTTATCTGCGAAAGAAATTTAATGACAGCATGCTTTCATACAGGTCAAAGCAATTTATTATTAGCAAACAATAGAAAAAGAACTCAGAATTCCGTGTCAATTCTGGAAAAAGGCTTCAAGGATTTTCTTTTTTATGTAACTCAAACATTTGTAACCATATGAACTGTGTTTATAGCATGGTGTAGGCCAGAGTATAATGGACGCTATGATGAGTCAGTTTTAATTAAATAACCATTGTCGTCGTACATTGATGAGAGTGATGTTCTAGATACACCTAATAATTTATTGCACATGAACGACTGAAACGGACTCCAAGCATACAAACACATTATACTAGACAACAGAACACAAAATAATACAGAAATGTACTCCCCATACTTCTCTCTAAAACTTTGTCCTAAAGCTACGCACATCCCATAGTGACCGCTCGTCCTCCCAGCCTGTGTGAGGCACAGTCATCCTCTCTTTGACGAAGTCCCACAAGTTCGTGAACCTCGCGCTGAACGCTTTAGAAGCAACGAAGGGACATTTGACACGATAGTCTCGATAGCAATTCACAACCTCCATGCCGAAGTCGTGGAACGCACGTTTGTTGCCCACGTCATAGACTTCGATGTGTCCCGCTAAGAAAGGGAGGATACCGTATAAGTAGACGTCTTCAAGGTGCACAAACGGCGTTTGACGAGAAGCCGCCAAAAGACTGGAGAGGACGCCTCGTGTCATGAGCACAGCAAATCCTCGACAGTGGGGTCGGAGAGTAGAGCTATGCGGAAAGAGGTCAAGGCTGAAGGCCCGCGTGCCTGACCGTGGGATTGGTGCGTCCAGATTGAAAAAACACAACATGGCACGTGGTCCAATCACCTTGGCAGCTGCAGGAATCAGTCCTCGTAAAAGTTTGTCCGAATCTACAAAGACGTCCTCGTCAATCTTCATAATAAATTTCGCACTTTTGCAATACTGTATGGCCCATTCCATTCCCATAATCCCCTTTCTCGTCGCGTTTTCCGGTTTGTCCATGAAATCCCCCTGAACAATGTCCCCATACTGTTCATGCTCCCTGTTCAGCTTGTTCTGAAAGTTTGGGGACGTTGTTCTACCCACCAGAAACACATACGCGATGTGGAACGGCTTGAACACATCACTCTGAACAAATGTGCTTCTGATCCCTTGTCTCTGCTCGTCGCTCTGTGGCTGTGCGTGAACGAGGTACAAAATGTCCACATCTCTCTCGCCCTGACATGCGTTTGGGTTGTTCAATAGTAGATTGGAAGACGCATCCAACACAGGCGTTTCGACTGGTTTGCCGTAATATTCCGTCCTAAACGATGCGACCCTTTCATGAAATCCGTCTGTATAGAGTGGTCCATTTTCATCGAAAACTGCATCAACTTTGTTTGAAGAAATTGAGTTTTGGGCAACTGAGCTGCCCTTAGCAAATCCAGTTCTGTCTGCCACAGATGAAGAATAAGAGCTATCTTGTGAATTACCTTTTTTTGGAAAATTTTGCTGGTTTTGTTGTTGTTGCAGCTGTTGTTGTTGCTGCTGCTGTTGCTGTTGTTGCCCATTTTGGTTTCCTATACCAGTTTCTACTTGTTGTTGAAATGGAAGTCCGCTTTGTACGAAATTCCCTTGGCCTAAATTCGACAAGCTTTGTTTTTGTAGATTTGATATATGGGTGCCTGCAGCAACTCCCTGTGTATTCTGTGGTATGTTCATTTTGTCAGTCATTGAAGCCATACTTTGACCAGGGATACCCGCAGCAGTGTTCATGTTGTTAAAGGCATTTTGACTCCCTGTCGCAGATGGGAATTTCTGTGAAGACTGCCCAACATTTTCATCTTGCCTCCCATTGAGATCAGATTTGAAATTGTCATTCGCATTGACAAAGTTCTCATAATTCACCTGCTGCCCATAGGATTCTTGCTCACGTCCGCCCTTTATTGCCGCCTTCGCGGCTTGAATGTCCACCTCAACCATCGAGTCTGCTCGTTTTAGATTGTCACCATCATCGTATTCGTAATAATCATTGTCAGATCTTGCATCATCGAGAGCACTACTTCCACCAAAGGTCACGGGTGTGCCTATTGGATACAGTACCAATGTCCCCTGCTCAAGGTCACGAACTATGACCTCTACGTTTAGGAACTGCGGCTGATCGTCGCGTATAGCTGCCAGCACGTGAGTGCCTGACATTAAGGTATTTAATCGTAATGATTTCCCTCGAATGTAGTCCCCTGGAGAGCAGGGGGGTAGTCCTTCGTCCCAACTCCTTCCGTTGTCTCGTGAGGATCTCAGGAGTTCAAAGTGTTCCCTTTGGTCTAAGGTACTGGTGCGAAAGATGAACCAGACGAACAGGACGACCAGGAGCTGCATCAATGCAGGAACGAGTTTGGAAACTACTGTGCGTCGTCTGCAGTTGCAGTTGCAGCAGAAGAATCTTTTCAAGCACTCCATAGTTGTTGGGAAGAAGTCAAGGCTCAAAAGGATAATCTATTCTTATCGTTGTGTTGATGAGCACAGTGTGTTCCTTTGAGTGACCTAGGTTTTGTTGTTTGCTGTTGCAAGGTGTTGTAACTTTTCGACTTTCTCTCCCCCTCTCTGCCACAGTCTCCTCTCCGTTCCTCTCTCTCTCTCTCTCTCTCTCTCTCTCTCTCTCTCTCTCTCTCTCTCTCTATCTTTCTCTCTCTCTCTCTCCTTTCCTGTGTTCGTGTGTTTTGCTATCTCCGTCTCTATGTCTTTCTCGCTGAGTGTGTATGTTTGTGTGTATGTATGTAGATCTATGTGTGTTTGAGAGCGCTGTTATTGAGCCTGGATTTTTTTTCCAGTATGTATCCTCTTTTTCTCTCTCGCTTTCTCAAAGAAAACTCCCATTAAAAAGTCCAACAAATCCCCAGACAAGCAACAGATTGTTGAGGCTGATATCTTCGCTGGGTCAAAATGGATGTGCAAAGGTGACAGTACATAGGGCGTTGAGTAGGTGGGGGCTGACGTTAATGGTGGAAGGTTCAACACCTTGTTAGAGTGCCTGGCCAGGGAGTTTGTCACACAGGCGAATTATTGCGCGCTAATATTTGCTACACAACAACAGATCCTGGGAAAGAAACAAGAATACCATATACAAATACTTTGTCGCCTTGAACAGGTAGCTAAAAGTAAATTAAGTCCTCTATTCGGAACTTAACTGACCTAATAATTCACACGACCTGTGGTATCCACTCTCAGTGAGTTACTTTTGGGTTAACAAGACGTTACGCGCGAAAATCGCATTTTATTTATTTTAAGCATGGGGGCAAGCCTCGAAAATTACTTTTGCCAATCGATGGAGGTACATGTACACGAAGATTGTTGAGAGCAAGAAGTGACTGCATCAAATTTTGGTCGAAATGGAGTAATCGGTATGGGTAGTGGAATTTTAAGCCGCTCTTTCGCCTCTATAAATATCCAAACCGTAGCTTGATCCGGTATCGAGATATTAACGTTTCTTTTTTTTTTCTTTTTTTATATATACTATGTTATAGAGATTTCAAAATCGTCAAAATGTCACAAACTCATTTTTCTCGAAATTGTGAAAAGTGGATATAGTCACTTTTTGAGCACAGCCATCGATGGATATAAAGAAATTTTAAAAAAAATGAAACTTGCACGTTATTCTCAGCATGATTTGATTCTTATAAAGGCGAGCTCTATACTGTGGGGTTTGAAGGTCCTATTTTTGTTGCTGCAAGACTGGACCTTAATAGGTAGACCCATTGTAAGGACAAAGAAAAGGTCTGAAGATTTCTACACACAGAAAAAAAGATCATGAGGACCATCCCACTCCATAGAACTTTAGAATATCCATAAGACATTGTCAATTCATGGTGCCTACCAATTTGAGAATGGTATTTTTAGTGGCCTTTTAGGATAATATAAACAAAAATTTGGTTAAAGAACTAAACGCATTTTCTGAACAAAGTTATTTTGCTAATAGATATTCTTGTTTTCGCGGAAAAGCCATTTCAAAGACAGTTTGAGATTAAAACAAGAAACTGAAAAGAAGATTTCTATGTAATACAATAATTCATCGTTTCAATGATTGTTAACATTTGACAACAAACGAGGAGACAGAAAGGGAAGGTATGAAATATCTTGGAGACATGGGTTATTCTCACGCCGATATTCTGAATAGGTTATCCACATGGCATCGTAAGAAAGCTATTTAAAGGGGGGAGAAATGCATATCTTTCATTTCCAGGTGATGGTGTACTAAAGTTTTGTCTTTAAGTAGCACATTATGAATGAACGAAAAGTATCCCCCCCCCCCTTCCTCTCTCTCTCTTCCCCATGTTTTCCACGTCCTAACTGTTCATTTAATTGTTTACCAATTGTCCTCTATATTATCTTATTCATTTGTATTCATTATAAAAACAACAGAACAGACAAAGGTTCCATTTAAAGAATGGTGGCCTTGTAAAAATGAATATAATGTACAGGTATTCAGAATACACAAAAAATTTAATCTCCCAAATCACCAGCCATCTACCTTGTTGCATCCAAAACAACTATTCAAAGTTCTCATAAACTATGGTAGATGGGGAAATTGTAATAAGTAAATCAAGTGTATTTTGAAAGGGGGGAGGTATCAAGTGGAAAA